CATTGAAAACATTAAGACATTATAGTGTATAAACCAGCAAGCAAAGCCAATGAGAACATTAAATTCAGGTCACAGCTGCCCACAATAATACAAGTAAATTAAGAAAAAGGGTAGAGTTTCGTGATGGGAAATGTATGCCAATATACTGCTTCATTTTTAATAAAATTTTTGGTTTGAAATCAGTCTCAGATGTCATCTGATCATTTCTTTCCCTCTTCCCATTTTGCAATCATTTTCACTTTTTGAGAAAAAAAATTGACTTATATTTGTCTACATTGCTGGGGCTGAAGGGAAAACCTGTGAAAGGAATTTCTTTGAAGTGGTCTGTATGTCTATAAACAGTGGACTAAAGAATGTGTGGTATTTGTATGCAATGGAAAACTATTCTGTCATAAAGTAGGATAAATCTGAGACTTTTTAGGAAAATGGATGAACCTTGAGACCACAATGTTAAGTGAACTAAGTCAGACACACAAGCTTAAATTGCTGCATCGTTTCTCTCATACACGAACCCAAAAGTATAAGTAATTTAAATAGCAGAAGAAAATATATATAGTGGCACACAAGGGGTTGGCTCTTTTATAATAGCAGTGGTCCTAGAGGTGAAGGGAGGGGGCAGGAGGAGGGTGGATGTAAAAAGAATTAAGCTTATGGACATTTACCAGCTCCCATCATGAATGTAGTAATTAGGGACTGCACATGCTAATGAAAGTTTCAGAATTACCCCGATTCTCATGCACTGTCTGACATGTTATTGATTGTGTCACTAGCCCATGCTTTATTTATTGACTCAGTTATTTGATTTTATATTTTTTGTTTGTTTTTCAGATTTACTCTGGGTTACACATTAGCTGCTGATATAACAGAGACCTCCGTGGAGATGCAGCAGTAGGAGGGAACCGTGGACCTGAAGGACTGTGCTAGCTGGGGCCTTTCTTCCCAGATTTACAAGACTGAGACTGCCTAAGGGTCACACAAAATACTGTGGGTCAGTGACAAAGGGCCAGGGACTAAGCCAACCAGGCAGAAATTCTCATCTCCTCAAACTGAAGAGGGAATATCTTGCAACAGTCTCCAAAGCCAAAATCCAGTTACACCTGAAAGACACCTCATAGAAATAGTCATTTTCTACAGTTCTAAATACCAGCAATAAAACAACTTAATATAGGCAATTTATAAGCATAAACTCAGAAATTAAACTAAAATATACAAAAGAAAATCAGAAGACACTTAAACAAGATACACCCACAGAAATCCATTCCACCAAAGGCCAACTGAGGGGATAATTAGGTGGGACAACCTGAAAGCTACCCACCTGGCACTGTGATGTGGGAGCAACAAGGCAAATGAATGAAGATCTAGAAAAAAATGAAATCGGAAATGAGTTCTCAGATAACTACAGAGGTGGTGTCTACAATTTAAATCATGCTGAGTGACTCTAGAGCAGACACATGCACACACACATACACACACACACACACACACACACACGCACGCACATGCACGCACACACACAGAAAGGTGCTTAAGAAAATGATGAAAGCCATGAAGGCCCAGCACAGGAAGGAAGTGGAATCCATAAAGCAGATTGAAGCAGATATCTCAAAGAATAAAAGTTCCCAAAGCAGAGTGAGCCAATGAGAGAACAGAACCTCAGATACCGAAGTTAGACTTCCGATTAGCGATCGCAAAAAGGAAGATTTCCTACCAAGAGCAAGGGAACATGAGAGAGCAGGCCAGCCCTTCACAGATGATACAACAGAGAATAACACCAGGTTTAGTGGAATCAATGAAAACAGAAGGTAGCACAAATGATGCTTAAAAAAAAAAAACTGTTCACAGACAGCATGGAAGAAACCTTCCCTGGCAGGGTTAAGAATTTGACATACAATTATGTGAGGCATACAGAACTCCAATTAGCCATGATCAAAACAAATCTACCACTTGTGTATAATAGTCAAGATTCCAGAAATTCGATACAAGAACAGAAAATTAAATGTTGTTAGGAAAAAGAAACAAATCCCCTACAAGGAAAATCCATCAGAATCACAGCTGACTTCTTGGATAAAATACAATCTAGATATTAAGTCTCTGTTGGCAGAGAACGGAGTGGTGCTTTTTCCCCATCTTTAAATTGTCTTTTCACTCCATTGTTTGTTTCACTTGCTATATGGATAATTTTAATTTAATGTAGTCCTGTTTTTCATTTTTGTTATTAATTTTCACAGTACTAACGTTTTATTCAGGGAGACTTGGCCCTTGTCCAAGCTACCAAGTCTTTCCATCAAGTTTTATTCTGACAGATTCAAGTCATGGGCTGGGGAGATAGCTTAGTGGTCTAAGCACCTGCCTGGCAAGTGCAAGGACCCAAGTTTAATCCCTGGTACCACATGCTATGCTATCCCCAAAACCTCTGAGTGCACTGTGCCGGCCACCAAAACCAGGTATGGTGGCACATGCCTGTAATTACAGTGCTGGGGAAGCTGAGACAGGAGGATCACTATGAGTCTGAGCTGCAGAGTGAGACCCTGTATCAAATAAATAAATAATTGTTGAAAATTTCCTGTTAATCAGCTTGGAAAGTATCTCACTGATATTTGTTTCTCAATAAAATATACAAACATAAATAAATAAATAAATAAATAAATAACTCTTTTTAAAAAAAGAGTCAAGTCACTATACTTAGGTCTTTGACCAGGGCAAGAAAGGCGCATTTAATTTCAATCTACATAGACTGGCCAGCTTCCCCAAGGCCATTCAGTACAGTCTCTTTTCTCTAACTTAAATTTTTGGTACCTTATTAAGAATCATATAGCTGCATTTGCAAGATCTTTTTTTCTGTGTCATTTCCTTATATTTGATTAATCTGTGTGTCTATTTTTGTGTCAATACCACTGACTTTTTGTTGTTATGTTTTGGTTTGGTTTGGTTTCCTGGGGTTTTATTGGGGGGCATTGATCTTTTATTTCTGTGATTTTGTCACATATATTAAAATCCAGCTTTGCTCTAATCCCTCTCTTTTTGCTTAGATTATCTTTGGTAATTATGTATCTTTTGTGTTTCCATATTTATTGTTAGAATAAGGAATAGAAACAAATAACTAATAAAAATTGATTAACAGCAGAGAACAGAGGCAAGTATTCAATTAGACAAAGGTCAGGAATTCAATTCTTGCTAGACTGAGACCTTGGCAATTCACAGTAAGAGAATGATTCTTTAATTTCGTCACACTGATACACCCAGGTCATTCTCCTGTGTAAGTCCAACAGTTTTGCAGAGTTACTCTCCCCTGCAGGATGCTTCCAGGCTGCTCACGAAAACTTCAGCCCAACATTGGAGCACGCTGACAATAAAGAAATGTGGCAAAGACAATGGTATCTGCATTTGGTAGCAAGTCACAAGTTTCTTCCGAAGGGAAGACCAACTGCATTTGGTAGCAAGTCACACATAAATATTATCCAGCTGAAAGATACAGTTTGGATACTAGGCATGGGGACACCTTTGCTGCAGAAGTTAGCACTCTGAGAAAAAAACTGAAAGCGTTAATCATTCCAATATACAGTCAGTTGGAAATTTCAAGCTTGTGGTATGCACAAATTTGTTTACAGCAATTTTTCACCACTTCTGTAAACTTAGCAATTTTAGCCTCAGTTCCTACCATCTCTCCTTTTCTACCAGACACAAGCTTAGAATATCTGAATTGCTACATGTCTTTCTACGCCCTCATTATCAATTACTCTCATACTTTCAATCCCATTTTCTGCCTTTCTAAACTCTTCATTTTACCTCTCAATAATGAGCTACTCAAATGCAGCACAATGAACCACACTTAAATGGTCACCTAGTCCCTGAGAAAATGCTTTGGGCTGCTTGTAAAGCAGGCTTTCTCTTGTGCTGAGTACATTTCCAAAGGCATTTTTCTAGTGGCCTGAAAGAAAAGGCGTGATGCCCCAGACAAGAGTGAGGAATCAATCATGAGCTTCCTAAAGGCTGTCTACCTCTTGGGCCCACAGCTCAAAAACTAGCTTCATGGAGATTTGTGCCATTTACTCCTTTTCACTAAAGCTGGCTAAGTCCAGCAGTGGGAAGACTGTCCCACAGTTTTAAGGGTCCACGTGTTTCCTTATGAACTGGAAGAATTATATGCTCAAATTAGTCCACAAACTAAATGACTTAAATGTTCCTCTTTGAGACACCCAATTAAAAATTTGATAAATGAGATTCATCAGGAACTCTTTGCAAATAATTGTAGGCTGGCTTTATTCCTTTACTCACAGTAATGCTTTCCCTCACAAACACTTCTGTTGAGAACAAGTTGGTTGGGAATCAGGAGTGTTTGACAGGATTTTGCTTCCTCGCCCGACCTCCGCATCAGGCGAGGAGCACGACCACAGTCATCCCCCCCGTGCATGCTGCCACAGCCACTTTGCCCAGAACTGTGAGATGAATTAAATCCATGAGCCAAAGTACTCTTTATTTATTTATTCATTTATTTTTATGTTATTAGTATATCCGTGCAGTACATGGTGTTTGCATTTCTTGGTTGTAATTGTTACTTGTACATAATCTATTCTGATTTCTTTTTCTCTGCCCTATACCTAAGAAACTTCTGCTGAGGCCTTTATAAACTGGATAAAGGTCTCTAGCAGACTTTTGATGCTGGAAAATTTCCTTTGCAAACTCTTCTTTGGTATCTCTATGATAGATGTTATAATACTTGGAAACTAAAGCAAACTAATGAACTACTTTCTAATTAAAATTTTACTTCCAATAAAAGGACATTAGAAATCCAGTTATATATCAGAACCTGCTGAAGAAAGTTAGTGTTGCGTCTTCTCAGGAATTTTGTTACAATGCAGCAGCTCACAGTTAGTCCGGGGATTGAACTCAGGCCCTTGCACTTGCCAGGCAAGCACTTATTCTACTGAGTCATCTTTCCAGCCCCCCACAGGCACTTGTTAGCTCACACTTATTAACTTATTGACTCTCAGTGCTACAGATCAGCATTCAAGAAAAGAACTTTATTGCCATAAAATTGAGAAGTTTGACGTGCACGGGCTTGGTTAGTGCCTCCTGTATTAAACCTGCAAACATTTTCTTGCATTTTCAATCATTTTTTCAGTAATAGGAGGCTTTCTCTGGCCCCCAGGCTGCAGGTACTTCTTCATGTTGGGCAGGTTGCTGATTCTGGTTTTTAGGGCCTGCAATACACAAACCACAGCCTCATGGAGGATCCTGAACTCTAAACCAACTATTAAACAAACCTGGGACACAGTGAAGCACTACTCAACTGTAAAGAAAGATAAAATTGGGACCAGCAGAATAGCCCAGTGGTTTAAAGTGCCTGCTGAGGCAAGCTTAGGCAAGCACACAGGGACCACAGTTTGATCCCTGGCACCATATGCTGCACCATCCCTGCCTCCAGGGTGGGCTGGGCCAGCCTCAAAAACAAAAAAGAAAGATAAACTCAAGGCTTTCATAGGTAAGTGG